CAAGAAATTGCTTGTATTTTGTTTAAGTCATTTAAGGCATTATTAACAGTGAGCTTGCACTCTTCAAAATTTCGTTGGCCTACTATAGAGAGGCCATATTCGTCCAATGACTCACAGGTGGCCACTGACCGCTTGCCTTTTGTTGGACAACATGAAATGATTCACATGGATTTAACATGTGACCTTTCAGGGGTAACATCATAACAATGTAACAGTCACTCCTGCTTGGTTCAGTTTTGCTTTTACCTGTGGATTATTATGGTGTTAAATAGGATAGGATTGACCAGAATATTCAAATTGTTTTTGTAATTCAATTTGTTACAAATTGTTTCAAAATGTTGCTTAATTTAGGCCAAATCTGTAAATGCGTAGCAATTTAGAAACCGATGTCAAATTGTGGTGAAGTCATATTACCCCAAACAAAAAAATTTGAGTGTCACAAATTGTTTCAATTTAATGTATGCCAAATTTCATGAGAAAATACTCATTGGATTTCTTTCTACAACACATTAAAGTGGGCGACAAAATTGTGTGTGGGGTACTATGTATAGACTTTTTTGCCTCTATTCTCATTTTTAAACCTGCTTCTGTTTGCTTATTTAACAATTGTGATAAATTATTCAGTTAGTGTCGAAATCAAAACAATTCTACATTATAGTCCCCTCCTCTTGCACTGACTAAATATTAAAATAAGCCAGTCTGATTGCGAATTTACAAATCCTGTAAAAAGTAGCTTCAAACCGCCTTTTAATCAGAGAAAACAATAAGTTAATTCATCTGATTGCGAAAATACGAATCAATCTGATTATCTGATCTCCATGCTATTTGATTCGTGCATTATCTACAAGTCAGTCGGGCAAGGGTGAAATTATTTCATTTGAAAACAGAAATAAATATCAGAACCCCTCTAGCATAACTATTCGGAAGAAATTCATACAAAAAATAAGGTACACAACTGATGAAGGGTCGCACACAATGCACTCACCCCTCTCCTCCTCTTCCGTGTTTGCCCACACACAACCATATTTGACAATTTTTCTAAAAGTGTTTTCCCCGGGAATATAGGTGTAGCGGTTGCCAGAAGTCGCACAGCTTGGGAGTCAGGGTATCCTGATCCATGCCTCAACGCCTGACGGGTCTGATATTTAGAGGGGGCGCAAGAATTATTAGGGGGCGGGGTAAACGTGAAAGTTGCCAAAATATCCATAGGCGTAGCCAGGAGGGGGGGGGGGGCGATGGGTGCGATAACAATAGGCTTTATATATGCTTTAATGTTTTATTTATCATGATGCTTTTATGTACCTGTAGGTTTTTAATTACAGTTCTTTTTGCAATATAAAACTGGTATGTTTATGCAAATTCCGATTGGACTAATATAAAGGGATATTGTTTCATCATGTAGACTTGAGAAAGTCCGACATACTCATTGCTTTCAACCCAAAACTTAAAATAGGAAGTTATCAAGATCCCAAGAACACGATCGCTACTAAACAATACGTTTGTAAAATCCCGGCGATCGAAATGCAATCAAACTTTCGCAATCAGGTGCCTAATTAGTCTTTTGATCTAAAGTTTTACGACTGAACGTTTCAATTTTTCTAGGAAATCTAAAAAAGAGTAAAACCCAGGGAAAAAGATCGCGTGTTCATAGGAATTAGGCATATTTCAATTTTGAAATAACAAAAGTCAGTCTCGGAAGAATTTTCCAAGCATTCCCTGCTTCGATGCGTTTTTATTGCAAGGGCCGTTTAGCGCCGATATGAATTCATTATCGGGCATTAGGGTTGTGCTTTATTTGTTTTATTTATATAAATGTTATAAAATGTGTACGACACTTTAATGAATTATTTTTAGGGTTACAATGCATATTTGACTTTTCCCTCTAAACGTTTAAAATTCATCTTTATACTTTTCTTAGTTTGCTTCAATAAAATTAACATTGGATCCCAGACAGTTATCAAATTCTCAGACATTTGATTAATATAGATATTTGTACTTCCTTTGACCAGTGGTGCTGGTGTGACTGAGATTCGAATCTAATCTGTTTAATTTTTATGTAAATTGAGAGGAATAAAGTTTTATTTTAAGCGTTTTAACAATCTTAACGTTTGGCGTGCAGCTCAACTTAATACACAATTAAAGGTCAGAATACAGAAATAAGAACATGCCTTTTATTTGTTATTCAAGCTCGAGCAATATCCCCGTTATAAAACCAAAATAACTGCGGTTAGGTACCATATCTTGATTACAGTAAAGACAGGCCAACTCATTCTGGTATGCCAGAGCCACTCTTATCTGCCGATTGTGGAAGGATAAAGACAAAGGGGTCGCGGCTATCGCGATGAGGCCATCTTATTTCTAGGAACTATTTCTGCCTCTCATTCCTTAAACCGGCTTCGTTAAAGAGTGCCAAAATATATAAGTCGGAGCCAAAAACAAGACTATTTTTATATTTAAATCCCCTCACCTTGTCAATGTCTATGCCTGCATCTGGTTTTCCCACCTTTGGGAGGGAGCCAATATATACATAGATTACTTACTGGCCATGGACAGGGGGGGGGGCACAGAAACGAACATTCTGGGGTCATAAGGGATACTTGTGGAAGGGGGAGGGGTGGTGGTGAATAGTGAAGTCCGGGAGTGAAGTTAAGGGGTACTGAAATCTTTCTTTTGATATTTATTGCTCGAATGGAGACTTGTTTCCACTCCCCGCATTCTAGTAGAATTTAAATATTTGATCCAAAGGAGTCATTTTAAATCAAACTTGCATTCCGATTAATTAACACTCCAATGATTGTACCGCTTCACTATTGTCTAAGATAATTATAATGAATTCACGGGACACTATAGTCTTCTTTTTAAACTTTAGTGTTTGGATAGAGACTTGTTTCCCCACCCCGTACACTAGTAAATTTGTAAATTTTAAATATTTGATTTAGGGAGGTATTTGCAATCCAACTCTGATGATGCAAGACTAGTCAGCCAAGACTAAATTATGAACTTATTATCATTTAGACTATTGAGTTCATTAAATTATAATTCCATAGATATCATATTTAATCCTGTCAACACAATGATGGTATTAATTGGCATTATATGTAGTCAGAGACGGTTTAAAAAGTTGTTTAGATTAATGATAGTATTAGGAAAAATCCTAACTCAAAGATTTTGTTCTCTCGCAATCCAGAGCAAACCACTCGCCGGGCAAGCATTCTTTAAAAACGTGAAGTTTTCACCATGTTGAGCAGTTTTGAAAATTGTCCAATTTGAACCATCGCCTTGTATATTTCTGTAACTGCCCCCCCCCCCTTGACACTAGAGTGTAAGAATCCTTTCCACACTGTCAATGGTTTTACAAAATAGTTCATGTCAGGAAGGGGGAGGGGTGAGTGTGGAGAACAATCACTGACTGCGATTTGTATGATTGAACATTATACACTTATCATAAATTCGTAAAGAATAGTTTTAAAATAAACAGCTTGTTTTATGTTATGATTGGAGTGATGTATGCATAGAAGAATGACACTGGTTTTGAAATATCTTAATTATCCCATTGAATGAAGCCATCCGTCCCTCTGTCCATTCTTAACTCATACTAGTGGACTGATTTGATTTAAAGGAGAAGTCTCGGTGTAGAACGTGTACACACTAATGGGAACGAATTTTACTCATTTCTATTTAGGATTCGTTCATATACTAGCGGGGCTTTAGAGCATTTACAAACGCACGATCGAATTGTATTGTTTTAAGGCAACTTTTATGACATATAATGTATTTAAAGCTGATTAATTTTAGATTATATTCGGTTCAATTTTACAAATAATGAATAGTATTACAGTATATCGAAAAATATACAATGATTTACATTAAATTGCGCAGACTGCAAACAATGTACATGGTTGGCGAATTTGCATGCGCGTTCTTGATAATAAGAATTAAAGGTTGAATTTAAAAATCAAACATTTTCTTTTTTAAACATAATAAATCTTTAAATCATGAAAATGAAAATAAGATTGATGATTGAACTTTTCATAGTCAACTGCGACTGTGTCGACGCATGTTTATTTACTTAGCTAATTAGATATGTAAAATTGTTAATGGCCGCAACGGATAATACGTACATGTAAGCTGTTCGGATAAGACATTTCTATATGATTAATAACAAATCCCGGGCAGAATGTTATTCAACAGTACCTGATCTTATCAGTTATTATTCAATTTGGATAATAAATCTATTATCTCGTCGTATTGATGTTTATTATATAGTGTTTCTCGTTGTGATATGTACAGGATGGTCCAAAAAAGTGAACCCTTGCAACAAGCTATATCTCAGTTATTAACCACATCAATGGGCTAATAGTACAATAACGTCATTTCAAAGGGCAATATAGTGAAATATTGGTCCAATATTTCACTATTTTGCCTGCAGAAATGACGTTATTACTATTAATACCACCGTTAATGACCAGGGCTGAAATAGCAAATTTGAAATAGAAAATCTTACGCACTGAACGATATCACTTTTCCCGGGAAACATAGCCGGGCGGATAATGTCATTATTGCCCGACTAAAGTCATTAACGCCCGACACAATATTGCTCACGTCAATATAGCAATTTAAATGCCTTCTCAACTAGTACTAAAACCCCTAGAACAGGCCCTGCAAGGTGGTAATAATATTATATAATGGGCAGTAGTCATCCAGAACCATGGGGCATGGATTGAGGACATCATCCATAAATCCAGCATGTCTGTTGATGCCATGTAACTTCTGCTAGATTTAAGACTGGGTGACCTTTATAGTACCCACAAAAACTTTAGACCTTCCTCTAAAACATGTGAGAACATTAGCCTATAATGCCAGTAGTACTTGAGATATAGCTTATTGCAAGGGTTGACTTTTTTTGACCACCCTGTATATGTATATGTGTGACTAAATACTGTAATTAGACAATACCTAATGTGTGATATATGTGTTCACGTATTATTCAGTACAACTGTTCAGAGCTTAATTTGAATGAGGCTGTTCTTATGGACTGACATTGATTTAAAAGTTTTAGTCTGAGTTAATGATTTACCCCAATGGTCACATAGCATTTGCCATACATTCTTTCCCTGAAATTCATGTTGTTTAAACTTGAGGAGACAGTCTCCAAACCATTCTGTAGCGACATCCTTTCTTTGCATCAGGCCCACTTTGCGGCCAAATGAGCAATCAATAGAGTCCCCAATAGCTTCAAACTCTTCTGTTCCTTTTTCCCCTTCTGGTAAAAAGGCAGCATCAATCTAAGGAGGGAGGGGGTATATTACATAGATTGGATACATAGTTTTAGAGAGTTTTATAGAAAACAAAATTCTGTGAAAATTAATATTGTTGTTTTTTGTGACTGGTATTTTGACTACTTTCAAATGTACTTACATTCCCAACTCTCAGCTGGTCCATTACATCAACCCATCCTCTGGTTATAGCAATTTCTTTAGCCATAAAATTACTTCCATAAATTCCACTTGCTGAGTAACAAAATTTGTCCATAAACCAAAATTTTCGGAAGCCTGTAAAATATGAATTGATACAAATATATTGTTATATTAGAACTTTATTAGTGAGATCTGTTGAATAAGGCGCAACTCTACCAATTTGCAAACGTTTTTGCTATAAATCAAGCAACTGAGGTCTATAAAACCTTTAATAAATAGTTGTAAGTGACATTATCACAAAATTATTGTAATTGCTATTGTAAGTTTCTGTGCATTATATAAAAATAATCGAAAATAATTACAACTGAACGGAGGGGAGGGGGAGTGAACAGAGGGGGGAGGAGTGATGTGTCTATAAGACATGTTACACATGTTACATGTACTTAACTTTATTTTCAATGACTCCAAATGTCCATATTTTTCACTCTTCATTGGATATAACATCCAGTTGTTGCTGAGTTACTGAGTTTATTTTCAAATACATGAATTTATGTTAATTTCTCCCACTTGTCACTTAGAAATTTATTCTTAAAAACCAGCATTGACATTAATTTTGTGATAATAACATGACTTAAAACTATTTATTACAGGTCATATAGACCATTGTTCCTTGATTTATTGCACGTTGGTGACGTCGCACCTTTTTTGATAGATCTCATATCTTGGAAATATATATTGGTTCAAAAATATATTCTGCCATACTTTGTGCTTATTATAAAATTAGCAATTCAATTTAAACTTTATCTTAGAAATATAAATCTTCCAGATTTGTTGAATTTTCTAGCAGAAATCTGCTACTCCTCCCCCCCCCTCCATCCATTTTTTCCAACCGCAGGGCATGAAAAACATATGCCACATTCTTTCTAATAGATGCACATACTCAAATAAACGTACACCTGACCTTTCCATGAGACTCTGCCAACTTGAGTATCAAAAATCAAGAAAAAAAGAAAAAATTCAAAAAAGTAATTAGGCGATAATAGGGTACATTATTTTTATGTCACCACCAAAAGTGGTGACATATTGTTTATGTCACCACCAAAAGTGGTGATTTATGTCACCACCAAAAGTGGTGACATATTGTTATGGTCTCCGTTTTTTGACATTTGACATTTGACCTTCAAATCTGACTTTAGATTTGACATTTGACCTTCAATGACCTTCTCAAGGTCAAAAAAGGTCTGTTTTCAACTTGCTTCAAATTGACTAAATTTTTTTTTAAAAATCATCTACATGTTCTCAGAAATTCAAATCTGACTTAAGATTTGACTTAAGATTTGACATTTGACCTTCAATGACCTTCTCAAGGTCAAAAAAGGTCAAAAAGGTCTGTTTTCAACTTGCTTCAAATTGACTAAAAAAAATTTTCAAAATCATCTACGTGTTCTCAGAAATTCAAATCTGACTTTAGATTTGACTTAAGATTTGACATTTGACCTTCAATGACCTTCTCAAAGTCAAAAAAGGTCAAAAAGGTCTTTTTTCAACTTGCTTCAAATTGACTAAATTTTTTTTTTTAAATCATCTACATGTTCTCAGAAATTCAAATCTTAGCAAGTTGAAAACAGACCTTTTTGACCTTTTTTGACCTTGAGAAGGTCATTGAAGGTCAAATGTCAAATCTAAAGTCAGATTTGAAGGTCAAATGTCAAATCTAAAGTCAGATTTGAATTTCTGAGAACATGTAGATGATTTTGAAAAAAGAATTAGTCAATGTGAAGCAAGTTGAAAAAAGACCTTTTTGACCTTGAGAAGGTCATTGAAGGTCAAATGTCAAATCTAAAATCAGATTTGAACTTCTGAGAACATGTAGATGATTTAGAAAAAAATTGAAGTCAGTCTAAACAGTATTTGTTAAGTTATAGGAAGTTGTAAGAAATTGTTACAGATGCCGGACGCCAACCTCCAACCACCAACCACCAACCGCCGTCGCAAAAAAAACGGAGACCATAACAATATGTCACCACTTTTGGTGGTGACATAAATCACCACTTTTGGTGGTGACATAAACAATATGTCACCACTTTTGGTGGTGACATAAAAATAATGTACCCTATTATCGCCTAATTACTTTTTTGAATTTTTTCTTTTTTTCTTGATTTTTGATACTCAAGTTGGCAGAGTCTCATGGAAAGGTCAGGTGTACGTTTATTTGAGTATGTGCATCTATTAGAAAGAATGTGGCATATGTTTTTCATGCCCTGCGATTGGAAAAAATGGATGGAGGGGGGGGAGGAGTAGCAGATTTCTGCTAGAAAATTCAACAAATCTGGAAGATTTATATTTCTAAGATAAAGTTTAAATTGAATTGCTAATTTTATAATAAGCACAAAGTATGGCAGAATATATTTTTGAACCAATATATATTTCCAAGATATGAGATCTATCAAAAAAGGTGCGACGTCACCAACGTGCAATAAATCAAGGAACAAAATCAGTCAGCAAGTTGAAAAAAGACCTTTTTGACCTTTTTTGACTTTGAGAAGGTCATTGAAGGTCAAATGTCAAATCTTAAGTCAAATCTAAAGTCAGATTTGAATTTCTGAGAACACGTAGATGATTTTGAAAATTTTTTTTAGTCAATTTGAAGCAAGTTGAAAACAGACCTTTTTGACCTTTTTTGACCTTGAGAAGGTCATTGAAGGTCAAATGTCAAATCTTAAGTCAAATCTTAAGTCAGATTTGAATTTCTGAGAACATGTAGATGATTTTTAAAAAAAAATTTAGTCAATTTGAAGCAAGTTGAAAACAGACCTTTTTTGACCTTGAGAAGGTCATTGAAGGTCAAATGTCAAATCTAAAGTCAGATTTGAAGGTCAAATGTCAAATGTCAAAAAACGGAGACCATAACAATATGTCACCACTTTTGGTGGTGACATAAATCACCACTTTTGGTGGTGACATAAACAATATGTCACCACTTTTGGTGGTGACATAAAAATAATGTACCCTATTATCGCCTAATTACTTTTTTGAATTTTTTCTTTTTTTCTTGATTTTTGATACTCAAGTTGGCAGAGTCTCATGGAAAGGTCAGGTGTACGTTTATTTGAGTATGTGCATCTATTAGAAAGAATGTGGCATATGTTTTTCATGCCCTGCGATTGGAAAAAATGGATGGAGGGGGGGGAGGAGTAGCAGATTTCTGCTAGAAAATTCAACAAATCTGGAAGATTTATATTTCTAAGATAAAGTTTAAATTGAATTGCTAATTTTATAATAAGCACAAAGTATGGCAGAATATATTTTTGAACCAATATATATTTCCAAGATATGAGATCTATCAAAAAAGGTGCGACGTCACCAACGTGCAATAAATCAAGGAACAAAATCATCTACATGTTCTCAGAAATTCAAATCTGAATTTAGATTTGACATTTGACCTTCAATGACCTTCTCAATGTCAAAAAAGGTATTTTTTCATCTTGCTTCAAATTGACTAAATTTTTTTTTCAAAATCATCTACATGTTCTCAGAAATTCAAATATGACTTTAGATTTGACTTTAGATTTGACATTTGACCTTCAATGACCTTCTCAAGGTCAAAAAAGGTCAAAAAGGTCTTTTTTCAACTTGCTTCAAATCGACTAATTTTTTTTTCAAAATCATCTACATGCTCTCAAAAATTCAAATCTGACTTTAGATTTGACATTTGACCTTTAATGACCTTCTCAAGGTAAAAAAAGGTCAAAAAGGTCTGTTTTCAACTTGCTTCAAATTGACCAAATCAAAATCATCTACATCTTTTCAGAAGTTCAAATTTGACTTTACAAGTTCTCAGAAGTTCAAATCTGACTTTAGATTTGACCTTTGACCTTCAATGACCTTCTCAAGGTCAATAAGGTCTTTTTTCAACTTGCTTCAAATTGACTAAAAAATGTTTTCAAAATCATCTACGTGTTCTCAGAAATTCAAATCTGACTTTAGGTTTGACTTAAGATTTGACATTTGACCTTCAATGACCTAACTAGGTGGTGACATTTTGTCATGTTAATGCCTTGTTGAAAATTGCCATATATGATACCTCTGAAATAATATATGTAGTGTATACATTGGCATACATATATAGTGTTATATATCATTTTAAAGCATATGATATACTTTTTCAGTATCATAAAAAAGTCCCATTTTATAAGTTGTCATGGTTACAAGATTCCAAAAAATACATTGAGTTTGTGCTTGGACGTGATATCACATCCTTAGTAGTCAACGTATGTGCTTTATGACGTCATATCATGTCCTTCGTAGCGAATGAGTTAAAGAGGGAAATCATGAAATACCCTATTATTGCCCATATATTCATCTTTCAAAAATCCCTGGGTATTTTGACATTTGAGACATCTCCTCCAGGAGAATTTGGGAGCCGCACTGTGTGCAACTACTTTTTGTCCTGTATGTGATGAAAAATTGTAATCCTGTGATAACCCAAATACCAAATTATCATAGTATGTTTATAGTGAGGTTGATTGAGCCAAGTAGTAAATCAGCAAATCACATTTCATTTGTGATATAAGATTACATATTTACTACCTATTGTTTTTCCTTGTAGCTGCGCCACTGTAGTTATCCCAGAGCCTCTCTTCACATACACTTGAGCCCTTGTAGGTTCCACAATTGCCCCAGTGAATGAATATGTGTTTCTCCTAAGACTAGTACTTGCCCAGCCAATACAAGCATCACAGTGCCGATTATCTAGACCTTAAACAGTTAATTCTTATGATTATTGATATTTTATTTAGAGGACATACAGTAAAATCTGTAAAGTGGAATACATCAGTATACAGAGTTCCAAATAACAGTTGCCATTCACCATTTGCGAAGAAAAAACAAAATTATTGATAAAGGAAGGCAATGTGACGAATAAAGTTGATAGGACATACATTTGCACCAAAAGTACTTATTAATCCAAATGAATGTATAAAGTCTACTTATCAATTACTCAGATGCGAGTAGGTGGTTACAGTTTCGCCACCGGGTGGCTGATTCGGGGGAAATAACATGGCAGGGTATTACAAAATTCCCTTAGACTTGAATATTTATCATTTTTAGTGGTTCACTTTTCATATTACCCTTATGTATCTGATAGTTATACAAATTAAAATATGTTCAGTAAAAGAAAATGTTATCTGTCCAACACAAGAAAAAATATTTCACTTTTTGTGATTTCACAACATGGGGTCTATGGGGAATCTCCCCGACTACATCTAGAAATATATATCGATATTTAACGACATAAATCAAGATTATTTCTACTTGCATATATATAACTTTTATTGACATATTGTATCATAACATGATTACATTAGTCATAAACTACTCACTAAAACTACTATCTACTACTAAACTACTTACTAAAACTACATCTTTATAAAAATATACATGATTTGATATATTTTTTACAGAAAGCATACAAGAAAGGCAAAATATTTTAAGTGTGATGCACAAATTTTGCTGATTATTCTAAATTGTTAAATGAATGGTATATAAATTTACCAAGATATCGTTGGAAGATGATATTATCATTAGAAATTATATTTATAAATAAATCGTTACTATTCAAGTCAAATGTTGGTAATATTTCAGGAATTTTACTGAAAAATATTTGCCTGTGTTGAGAATGCTTTGTACAATTTATGATAAAATGAAATTCATCCTCCACACATTTACATATACAGTATTACACAACCTTTCATTAACTGGTTTAGGTTTGGGTTTTATGTGTCTTCCAGATTCTATTTTTAACCGATGTGAACTTAACCTAAATCTACCTATTGCTAATCTATATTTTTTTATTATCTAGTTTCAAATATGGTTCTAATTCAAAATCTTTCTTAAATAGCTTATATGTTCTTAATATAGGATATTGTAAAATATCATTTCTCCAATTATTTATAAATGCATTCTTTAGTTTCTTGTCAACCAAGTTTACTAAGTTGTCTGTATTTTGACTTTGGTCATCCCAATACTCTGTTAGTTCACATTTGTGAAGAATATCATAAACTTTTTCAGACCATGATTTAAACCCTCATTCATGTTTTTCTTGACCATATAAATAAGCTTGATTTAAAATATTAGATTCTGGTAGTTTTATAAGTCTTAACCAGTATTTTATCAAAGATAATTCAATTTTGATAGATAAGGGAAATCTACCGAGGTCGCCATATACTGCAGGATTAGCTGTTTGAGTTTTGACTCCTAGAATAGATTTTAAAAAGGACAAATGCAATGTTTCAATAGATTTCATCTGTTTCTTATCATACCAAATCTCACACCCGTAACAAAGTATTGGACTGACTAATGAATCAAAAAGGTGAAGAGCAACATCGGGCGGTACATCATTGAATTTCTTATACTGTTGTTTGATTTTGAATATTGCCTTTCGTGATTGTTCTTTAAGATAAGCAGTGTTAATATCAAATTTATTGTTATCAGTAAGAATAACACCGAGATATTTATATTTATTTACACGTTCAATTTCTTGATTATTAAAAGTGAAAGGATCTGAATATTTAGAGTTAAAAATCAGTACCTTTGTCTTAAGGGTGTTGACTATAAGTCTATTAATTTTACAGAAAGCAAAAAGTGAATCTAATGCATCTAGTCCATTGGATGCTATCTTATTGTAATTAACATCAAAATTGTCCAATTTATTAAATAAATCAGATCACACATGAATAATTGAAAAATAATTAACATTAACAATACAGACATCAATACAATGAATAACATGAAGTTTTTACCACTTGATTATTCATACAATTTTACATTCTGAAAATAACTGAAGATTGAGAGGGCTAATTACAGGTAAAAAATGAACTAAGGTACATGAACAAGCAAACAAATATAATTACAAATGATGTATAGCCCCTCCCCCTGATCCCCCTCAAATGTAGCTTGCTCCATCTACATCTTCGCTTGTGGCCTACAGTAAATCCGGCTTATAATTTTGAAATTTTCGAGCCATTTTGGCTAATATCTTTTTTCTTTAATCTCCAACTCTGTCAATAAATAGGACAGTTTCCACTATATATCTTGAGAACTCCGTGAAAATGATTTCCTTGAAAATGATTAGATCAGCCAGTACAATCGCAAAATTAACACTGAAAGCAGGGGATTTGGAACTTCTTCGTCGGTAAGTATGTGGTGAAACTCAGTCTGCAAAAATGTCCCGAGAGGTCTTGATTGTGCTTTCCTATGTTATAGAGTCTCAGGCCTGTAGCCAGGGGGGTTCGATGGGTTCGAGCGAACCCCCCTGGCCAAAAAATCTTTCAAAATCATGCATTTTTTCACCATTCTGAGCACATTTTAAGTGATTTTGGCCACTTTTGGACCAAAATTGTCACAAGTGGACCCCTCCAGAAATTTTTCAAAAAGTGACCCCCCCCCCCTTTGCACTGGCAAATCCTGGCTATGGGACTGAGTCTCTTTAATGTTTTATGATTGGTTATAGCAACCATATGAAGTTTAGACAGATGATAGAATAACATACCTTCACCCATTGTTTTCTCTGGGTCAAAGCAGCGGCCAAGGTGTTCTGCAACGAACACCGTGTCACATTTCCTGCCACAGATGCCACACACTCCTTTGATAACATCATGCAGGAATCCTATAGCCTCTCCTGTTTTATTGTCTCTGTGGTAAATATTGAAAATATAAATGTTGACTTTAGAATATAAATGATATCACATAACATTTATAAAAGTGGTATATGTAAACTTGTATATATGGTATTTTGTGGTATATATATATATGTGTTAGTATCAGTAGTGGCACTTGTTTATGTAATGGTGATTACTTATATGTTCAATGGCACTTACTGAAATGTATACTGGTAGTCTGGTACTTACTGATATGTAAACTACTAGTATATGATAGTACTTTCTGCCTCTGGTATGTTTACTGGTACTTACTAGTATGTATATTGGCACTTTCTTTTATTAGATATAATACGTCTGGTATTTACTGGTATGTGTACTGTTTACTTATATGTATGCTGGTACTTACTGATATGTTAACTTTTAGTTATGTGTATATATGATGGTACTTACTGGTATGTATTGTGGCACTTTCTTTTATTAGGAGGCCCCAATTTTATAGATATTATTCTTTATTTATTTATTCTTTATTTTCCTAACACCTTTTCTCCTACTTCCAACTACCCTTCAACCATCTCCTACACTCACCTTCCAGGAACCTTGGCTGAACTTGGTGGGGAAGAAACTTTTATCTAGGTCAAGGTCAAAGGTCAAAATCTGGGTCAAATCAAAGTTTTTTTTAAGTTTCTCAAATCTTTTAGACCTATTGAGGTCTAAAAAGTCAAATTTGCAAGGTCAAAGGTCAAGGTCATCGCACTAAATCACAAACTGTGTTTTCTAAGTTTCTCAAAGTTGATGACTACAAATCAATATTTTTTGATGAAAGTCAGGATATATATTCCTCTTAAGTTTCTACACATATTGACTATCCATTAAAATTTTGTACCAGTTTTGAAATATTAAAACTCAAAAATTGAAAAAAGGTCATATTTTGAAATTTTTGACGACCAAATTTCAACTTTTTCTAAATTGACCAAACTTTTTTTTAAAATCATCTACAAGGTCTCAGGAACTCAAATCTGACCTCAGTTTTGACCTTTGATTGACCTTCATATATTATTACTTACTGATATGTGTACTGGTGTTTACTGATATGTTTAATGGTACTTACTGTTAGTTTACTAAGTACTTACTGGTATATTTACCAGTTTACAAGTGACAGGTATATGTTTAAAATGGTACTTACTGCTTAGTTTGGTCTGATCACATGACTACAATAAGTTGTAATTAATATGAGCTCATATGGCATAGTACAGAAATGATAAAGACTGGAAAATGTTTGAAAAAACCCATCTAAGAGTAGTACATGTACTAGCCTACATGTATATAAGTCAAAAGGAAAACAAACCTCAAATATCCCAAATCATAGTCTAACATTAGAATCATTCAACCCAGTTCGACAAGAAGGAAGATATGATAAACTGAATTGAAACTTAACATTTTAGTCATACTACTAATTTTTCTGATCCGGACCCAGATTTTTATAATGTGGGGTCTCGGGGACCGACTTTTTTCAGACCCTAATGAAAACACTGTAGTGGTATGCATACTGGTTTTAAATATAATGTTAACTGGTACTTACTGTACTTCTGTGCATATCAGTCCTTACTGGTACTGGTACTTGTACTGGTATACATATACTGGTACTAACTGACATGTATTTTGACTCTTCCTGATATGTATAATGGCAATAACTGTACTGGCACTTACTTCTATGCATACTTGTCATAACTATCATGTTTGCTGGTACTTACTGCTTTGCATA